GTTTCGTCGAGCTAGACGATGCCGTCAGGGCCTGTCACATCGAGGGTGACGAGACGCAAGTCACTTTCGCCCTGTCAAATTTGACAGGAAGAGCAAAGACTTGGGCCTTAGGGATCAAGCATCACGACTATAACGTGTTTGAGTCGTTAGAGATCTTAAAGTCTCGGTATAAAGAGAAGTTTGAGCCGCCAAGAGTCGAGATTAGAGCACGCTCTGCACATTAATGCAAGCAAGGTAAGCGTGACGTGCACGCTTAAGGCACCTGCACCTGAGCTACCTTGCTAGTAGCGTCACGGAATACCCTATTGCTAAGCACACGCTCATCAACGTGTTCATCGACGGCATTGTAGATGGACCAGTAAAGACCTACATGTTCCGAGAGGACTTCCATACGCTGGAAAAGGCGATAGCGCATGCAGAGCAAGAAGACTTTAGCCTGAAATAGTCTAAGGCTAACTCGTCAAATTATCTTCCTACAGGACGACAGAAAACAGGAGGTCCCGAACCAATGGACCTCTGCTATATCGAGAGCGAGAACTCTCGCTCTCTGAGTCACAAGCGAACGGCAAGATGCCATCGCTGTCAAAAGATTGGACACTACGCTCATGAGTGTAGTGTCCCGAGCACTGCAACTCGTTCAAAGACAGGACGTGATGACCACCGTTGGCCAAGGAAAGGTCCAAGGCGTGGGTCCGACCATGTCGCTAAGCCGCGACAGCAAGTCGGACCGTCAAGAAACGGTCAGGGTCAGTAGGGACGGAGCACCCTGCTGATCCAGCAACGTCAGGAGAATTTGCAGGACTCTTGACGAAGATTGCTCCCAACACGCAGTCTCTGTGTGTTACTGCCCTTAGTGATGAGGAGTCTCTCATCACTTTGAAGACCGAAGTGACAAGTGGAATGTCCCTCCGCGTCCTAGTTGACCGTGGGGCGTCGAACATCTTTATTCGACGCCAGTCGCTTGAGGATAGTAGGCTCAACTATGTTGAGCGAGAGTTTCCTCTAAAGAGGATGACGGTGTGCCTTGCTACAGGTGCATCCGTAACAGTGAGCAAACATGTAGTGGAAATCCACTACACGCTGGAAGGAAAGACGTACGATCATGACTTCATCGTACTGGATTTGGATGGCAAATTTGATGTCATCCTTGGTCTGCCATGGCTTAGAAAATACGAGTCATAAATCAGCTGGCAGCATCGATCAGTGAAGATGTCTGCCGTTTGTTCATGAGATGTCCATCTGATGAACGTCTTGGAGCGTCCACAAGCGTGTGGATATACTGATACGAGTGCGATGGACTCACTTGTGGTACGGTCGTTAGTACGATTGCACAAGATCGTAGTGTAGAAAGCCACTACACCGTGGAACCATCTTCCGGCACCTGTGTAGAGACACAGGTTGCGCCGAAGGTTCACCACTCGAAGAGATCGAGCGGACTGGAACACGGATGCACACCAAGCATGGTGCATCCGAGAAGAGAAAATTAGTGTTGTTCAGGATGGACAACACGTTGAAGCAAGATCGACTATCAGAGAGTCGATCGTAAAGCAAGCCCGATTGACTGAAAGAGAGTCGATCGCAGAGGACGTGACCGTGATTACACGTATTGGAAGAAAGTTCCGAAGTTCCTGAGAGCAATAGCTCCCGAGAGAGTTACGGTGAGGGTGTGGATCCTCAACCTCACACGGATGTGTTTTCCCAGGAAATCAACGAGTCAGTTAATGTCTTGGTGAATGACGAGTCAAGTGTAGGCGCTTAATTACTTGATCTGGTTACGCCCTCGAAGTCAGCTTCGGAGGTGGTCAAATTGCCAACGCTAGAATCTAAGAGATTTTTGCGAAATCTGCGTAGTGACAAGATCAAACAGATCTGCGTACTCGTCACAGAGGACGAGTAGTCGATATTCGGTCGGTACAAGTGTTTGCTGAGAACGAACGGGTTCTCAGTAGCTCATCAATGGACGATATTTTCCTCGATGAGAGACTTGGATAGAGCGATACATGTCTCAATCTTGGGAGACAAGACAAAACATTCGTATCAGGATTTAATCGAATTTAGGGATGTTTCCCCAGAATCCGTGCCATGAAAGCTGCTCAAGGAAAAAGGCAGTCGTCACGAAAGCAAACTCAAACCTGCTTCAAAGTACTGTGTCATGAAACAGTAGCTACTGCCTTGTAAAAAGGTCACAGCGATCGAAAATGTCTTTGCCTTTCGCTTAGCTGCTGATTATGTGAGGGGGTCAACATCCTTTCACAGCTCTCCAACCTTCTGTAAGCGAAAAAACACACGATAGTGGCGGATAGTGCACGCATTAAGAAATTTGAACGCTGCAACGGTATTGGCGTCTGATCCGATGCCGAGGAAGGACGTCATCATAGATGGCATGGCAAAGAGTTCCGTCTTTTCGTCTATGGATTTGATGGATGATTTCTATCAGATCCTCGTGCTTTAAAGGGTTATCCCTTAAACAGCAGTGAGAACCCCCAGTTGTATGCTCTGGGAGTGGCTAGTGATGCCAAAAAGGCTTAGTAACGCCCCCGCAACGTTCAACAGATGTGTTACATATCTGTTGCGATCGGTGCGCGATTTCGCACCGAGTTACTTCGATGAAGTATTTGTCCATAGCCGGGCTATGGATGGAAATACGGTCGTGGAGGATCATAGAATCTACGTCCGGAAGGTTCTTACACCTATGCGCGAGCATGAGTTGTTCACGAACCTCAAGAAGTGTACATTCGCAGCGAACGAAATACCGCTACTTGACTGCATCGTGGGTAAAAACGGTATACGCCCTGATCCGGGAAAGATTAAGGTGATTTGCGACTGGGCTGTGCCAGTCGGCGTCAAGGGACTTCGAATGTTCCTTGGCTTGGCGGCGTACTTTCACAAATACTCACGCAAATATGCCGAGATGACCGTACATCTCTCTCGTCTACTAAAGAAAAACGAGAGGTGGTCATGGAGTGCTAAATTTCAGCACTCTTTTGAAGGCATCAAGAATAGCTTGATAAAATCGCCTGTGCTGGCGATTGCAGATCAGGAAAGACCATTCCATGTGGTCAGTGACGCCAGCGATTTTGCAATCGGCTGCGCGTTAATGCAGTTACGACTCAGACGGCGTTGAGCGCGTCGTCTGATATCAATCGCGTCAGCTGCATGCAGCTGAGCGTAATTATTCAGTGCATGATAAGGAACTTCTTGCCATAAAATATGCACTGGCTAAGTTTCGGGTACATCTCTTCAGATCTAGGCCCTCCATCATTTGAAACGACCATGCGTCGTTACACACGGCCGTAAACAGTCCACACCTCTCGCAGAGAATGGCAAGGTGGCTGTCTTTCTTCGCGAAGTACAACTTCTCGGTCGAGTGTAAACCAGGACGACTTAATTTCGTCTCTGACGCTCTTTCACGTCGGCCCGATTTGTAGCCAGCTGCTCGAAACAACCGTAGGTGTGATCCCACTGTAGCAACACTAACAGTGATTGTTCCGTCTTTGAATCTGCTCGACGACGTGCGGAAGGCGTACACAGAAGATGAGTCTCTTTTGCGATTGATGGATTACGTGTATAATCCATGCAGTCAAGCTTTGAAAAGATTGTCGTCTCGATACCGCTCTATAACCAAACGGTATTCGGTTCGTGATGGACTGCTGTACTATACAGCAGTCAACGGTGACACACCTCGTGTCGTCGTTCCCGCTCACAATGATTTGCGATTGCGCGTCATGTATGAGTGTCACGATGCCCCACCAAGTGAGCATCGCGGCAGAGAAAAGACTTACCTCATGGTGAGTCGTGACTTCTACTGGCCCCACCAGTATGAGTTTGTGCGGAAATACATTCGCGCTTGCGCAGTCTGCCAACGGGTAAATCTTAGTCCTTCATCCCGCGCAACCTTGCAGCCTCTTCCAATTCCGGCAAAGTGTTGGCAGTCCGCCTCGATGGACTTCGTCTTCGGATTTCCCAAAGACGCTCACAAGAATACTGGTATTCTTGTGTTTGTTGATCGATTCAGCAAGATGGTACATCTTGTTGCTGTACCGGAATCAATCACAGCCCAGGGCTGTGCTCGTGACTTCATCGATACTATCTTCCGACTTCACGGGTTACCATATGAACTCGTGTCTGATAGGGACCCCCGCTTTACGGCGAAGTTCTGGCAATCCATGTTCCGTTCACTTGGAACACGTTTGGAGGATGTCGACTTCTGACCATCCAGAAACAGATGGTCAGACGGAACGCGTCAACCGCGTCGTCGAAAAGATACTTCGAGAGAATATCCACTCGTTTACGAGTTGGAGTGAGTTCTTGCCGATGGCGGAATTTTCTCGGCGCATGCATTGACAACGCAGACACCGTTCTTCGTGAATGGCCTACGCCATCCAGGTTTACCCGACTTCTTAGAGTGTGACTGTAGTTTAAGGGGGTGAAATCGCTCGAACAAAACCGATATGGTACTAAATCATCTCACGTCGACAATGGTGTCGGCGTGATGGATGCCGATGTCGATGCGATCGACATCGATGATTATGATGACGACGGTGCTGGTATATTCAGCATCGCCAATGACGGCCGAAGTGAGGACGACGACACCCTCACTGGTAAAGACAATGTTCTTTCAGCAGTGCACACGAAGCGCACGGCTGTTGACAAGGATGAATCAGCAGAGGCATTTCTGCTATTTCGCGAAGCTGTTGTCCGCTTCGTTCAAGACTCAATTGCAGATGCACTAGACAGACAGAAGAGAAACGCAGACAAAAATGAAAGAGCTAATGTTCTTTCATTTGATGAAGGACACCTAGTTTTACTGTCTCCAGTAAACCTACCGAAACACGCAGTGACAAACGTGGGCAGCAGTAAATCACTGCCCAAGTACATCGGTCCATTTCGTGTGTTGCCCCGAATGGGCAATGCATACACGATTGAACTGCGCAATAAGATGCGTACGCATCTTACGTTGTGCGTTGGACGTCTCCGCCCGTACTATCAGTACGAGCCCGTTACGAGATGCGAAGAACATCTCCGCGGTCGAGAGCCGAGACCACCTTCGAGTGGTCCCGTTTCAACGAGCCAGTCTGGTCGACTAGCGAAGCGACCTGTTCACGCAGTTCAGAGATGTCTCGACGAGCTACAGCCAGCTCGTCACGAAGAGAACGAATCGAGCTTTTGTTTTTAAGTCGCGCGTACGCAAAAGCGGAACGATCGTCCGAACGATCGTGCGTTAGGGAATCATAAATATCCATTACATCATTCTCAAGCTTATAACGCCGAACCCGTTCGTGAACCAGGTCATCTTGCAACTGCTCCTTTACATAATTCAGCTCTTGAACATCAAGCTGATCCGACCCTCGAGCCGGATCGGGTGTTCCCGCCGCCACCACATCCTTCGGTGGATTAAAGCGGTGGTCAACAATTCCTAGTGGAGCGTGTTTTGAACTACCACGATGTGAATGGCATTTGGACGAGTTACCTCGTTCGCTGGCGTGGCTATCCACCGGCGTGGGACAGCTGGGAGCCTCGTGCCCAGCTGATTGTTGATGTCCTGGGTCTCGTCGATCAGTACGATGAGACCCACCCGCTGCGTTCGAAGAAGGGCCGTCGGAAAACGACCTCCCCGAACGCGAGTACATTGATTGCAAGGTGTCAATCCCTTCGGCCATCTCAGAAGAGATGCGCGCCCTCCAGTAGGGAACGTTAGGGAGGAAGGCCTCTCCAGGGGCACGGTTCAAGTTGTCCAGGCAACCTGGATACTGGTCGCCCCACGAGAGACAGGGTAATCCTGCCTCTCTAGACACTAGGTGCGACTTGTACCGTACACCGGCTTGGTTACGCTTTTAAACCTGATACGAGCTGCATCAAGTTTACCGAACCAGGCCTCACGGCCAATGTACTCGATGTTATGGATGAGGGCATTACATCCTTGCACCATGGCATTTCCGTCTCGACCACGGTTGCCATTGCACCACCGATGTTTGAAAATCACATCGGTGAAGAATTCTTCCTCAGCACGGATAGTTTCCGTGCTAGGATCAGGTGGGCAAATCTTCCTGCAATCGAACAACGGGATTTGATCCCGCTCGGTAGTCATGCCGGCCAACCGGTCCAACTCTCTGGATGGCGGCATCCACGGAGACTCCACTTGGGGAGCGTGGCGCAGGACATTTCGGTCCCTGGCCTCTTGATTGGTGCCAGCATGAGCACTGGTACCAGTGTTACCCCGATCCCTTGAGTTAATTCGTTCGTGGTGATGTATAGGTGCACCACCACAATCTCTAGGCGTCCTATCGTTGGATGGACTTGCGTGAGGCGGAGACTCATCGGATTTATCACTCGATACGAAGATCTCGGTCATGATCCCGCCGCGTTGACCAGAGCTAGTTAACCTGGCTCTTGCAGTGTCCGCCCTAGTGGTCCGGAGGCGTGAGATGTCGCCTTCGAGTCGGATGCATCATCCGACTCGCCAGAATAGGTGAGCTCTATCTCAGACTCGTCTTGATTACGATTCGAGGTACCCGCTGCAGACGCAAAGGATGTACTTGTCGCACGTGGTGACTCACCACGTGGAAGATTCACGACAACAGGCGACGAATCGCCTGCAGCTGAGCGTGCGAGGCACTTTTCGCGGCTGCACGCATGCTTGCAGCCGTCTTTCTTGCTGCTGCAGTAGCAACTCGCTTGGTTTTTGACACCATGCGATGAAATTGCAAACGAGTTGGAATTTGTTCAGCAAGTGCTCCCCTTCCCAGGGTTATCTAAAGGTGATCACCCTGTCCCAATCATTTAATTTCAATCAGCGGGTGATTGATGGTTGGGGGGGGTGATGAAACGGGGTATCCCGTTACATGAAATTTGCATTAAACGGTGTCAATAGAATGTAGTCTAGCATGACAATATTCTACCAATTTATATCCGAGATGGATAATATTGAAGGAATTTTGAAGGAATAGTATCCCCTTTTAAATAACGTTCATGCGCTGCTCCAAGATTGGTCGATATCAGACATATCAACCATAGATTGCCACCAATCGCTGTTAGACGCGCGCAATGAGTGGTGAGCAGGTTGTCGTCATACGACGGCGTAGTTAAATACAGTTAGACATAGATTAAAGTTATATTGATAGCTTGACTATATTGTTTACAGTTTCTCTTTTTACCTTTACTTGATCGAGTCGTTCATGTAGATTAGCTTCCTCTGCACGTACTAGTGTACGTGAAGTTTAGGGGCACCCCAAACAAGGGGTGCCCAATACACCAGCTCTGGTGAAAATGCATGAGTTTACCTTTCCACTCATTTATTTGGATAAATCGATCAAAGTGATAACGTCACTTTTAATAAATTAGTGTATTTCGATTCAGAAATATAACATTCCTTATTATGACCACATTATTTATTGAGTTTCGTGCGGGGCTAATCCGTCTTACACATTTTAACAATTTTAGTACTGAAGACGCGTCAAAAATTTTACGGACAAGCAATCAGCATAAAAATTAAGTTTATTTGTAAGATGCTAGTTATAGAAGGACGGAAATGCGAAAACTGTTGATCTTTCTTTTGCTGGTTTCTGTGCTGATCCTAAACTGTATTCTGTGACTCCAACTATGAATGGTGCCGAGGATATAAGATAAAGTATTTCGTTGTTCCGACAGCTATTGTGCCTACTTGCGGAGCACCTGTATCTAGTGCTGCAACCAAAAGTAGCTGTTAGCAAATGTGAGGTCGGACACAGGAATTCTCGTCATCGGCGTAGTTAGAGTGCGCCATTAAACGTTACGTCTGACTTCAAGACAGGCTTAGTGTCGAACATGGTAAAGTTGGACGATCCAGAGCACAAGTCCGAGACGGCCTCTTTTTAACATTACAACACGGAATCTCATTACTTAAAATTGCTACTGATATGGCAAAGATTCGGCGTTTTCCATGGTAGTTCAGACACCTCGAGTACGACTTCACGTTTTACCACGACGGATGCATTCAAAGCCTTAATGAAAACGTCAGAATAATCTCGTCCCACAGTTGTTGCTGCTACGACGCCTGACACACTTAAAATAGAGTAGATCCAACTACAATCGTATATTTGGTTGAGCTTTCGGTCAAAGCGAGACGTCTGGGTGTCCAGTATAGGCACAAGATGATGTACGCTCAAGACAAGTAAGTAACATGGATTGATGTGAATTTTTTAGTGTTAAGCGCGCAGCGTTCTCCACGCAAGCCTCACGTGCAAGGGCTACAAAATCAACTTATTAGGCAAACCCGTTTCTGGCACAAATAAGACAACGTGCTTGCAACCGGTTCAGCTGACTCCACAATCTCTATCTGGACTCTTTCACAGACTAAAATGGATGCATAGCATGTACTTTTTGGCCCCGCGATGACTATCAGGGCACACTAAGGGCGAGCGAAAACTTCAGTTAAAGCCGACAGCAGAAGACTACCTATCCTCATCAATTCACGATCTCTCGTTGCGCTTTCGGATGCAGAGAAAAGGTAAGTGATTAAATATATAGCGCAAGCTGGATGAAATCGTGTGGAACATGGAGTTTAGTAGTGATAATGTTCTGCTAGCCACAGCAAGCCGCTAAGATTGTACATATTTTTCTACTCTCTTCAGTCCGAACGTGCAGTAGTTACCATCTGCTGCGGTCACGAGAGCTACAACCCGTAGTTTGTGATATGGTATTTATGACGCGTTTGCTGACAGTTGACGTTAATTGAGGTTCCTCGACGCATGTCAGCTTATGGGATTGAAGCAATTTGTTCGATCCTAAAAGGCACTCCGGAGTTAGTTGATCCAGCTGCAACAGCGAGTGGCACCACAACACCATTCCCATTTTACGACTCAAGCTCGCGCTTACTATTTCTTGTGGGCGTAGCAAGTCTAAAAATATGGAGCAAAGGTGTAAATCCCATTAACGCAACTGTGGTAAAGCGAGTTTTTAAGGATTGATGAACTCAAGGGTCGATGATTCGGACGGACATGGGACCTCGCGGCCGAGAAATGGACCGGGGACTTGGGGATGACATAGAAGGATCGTCCTTTGGGTCCATCGTGACGAGCGATTAAGGTTACCGCTAACGGGGTCAAATTAAATGACAGTACCATTTTAAAAGGTGCCAAGATGGATCGTTCTCACCACTCGTCGGTTGTCCTGGTCGCTCAAGGTGGGCCTCAGTCACCCATAGGCCGACCTGGCTACCCATCGGCCAACATGGTCACCCATAGGTCGAGTTGGCCCCTCAAGGTCTGGTAGCTCCCGGCCAATCATCACAGAGAATCCAGGTGCAAGGCAAAGATAGAGTAAAAGGAGTTTAAAGGATAGGACAATGTTATGTACTCCTCAATTTGCAATCTAAGTAGCACGACGTTTCGTGCGCTAAGCAACTTGTAAGTCTATAGAGCTGTACCGGGGCAGCGATCAGATTGTCTCACCCGTCAGATGGACAGCTTTTAGTAAGACCCAAGTTAAAGTAGGACCCCATGAAGTACATTGGCCTGTTGTTTTGTAGAGTAAAACCCCACTAACCCACTCCTTTTATAGGAAGCGGTCTCCATACCCTAGTAATAAGGTAGAAGACAAATAAAAGCCAAGCGGTTAACATTTCCGAGACAAGTAAAGGCCAGGCGCCACCAGCACCTGAGACAACTGGTTATAAGACCACTCTCAACCAATTTGATCGAGCGACCGCCTAAAAATTGAACCCCAACTATGGCGTACCCGCTTGAATCCCACCCAGATCGACCTCTATCAAGGGCGACGTCTACAGTAATCACCAAGTCCTTCGAAGAGTAAAACCCGCCAGCCGACGGGTACACAAGGTGAGTCAAGGTCTACAAGCGGCATCGAAGTAAACCCTCCGACAGTCGGCAGTCCGGCACAGTGAGTGGTTTGTGGTCTTGTCAAACAGTTTTTTACAATCCACTCCACCACACACTGGTGCAACTGAGTCTAACTTTAATGATATTTGAAGGTGTTGATCTTCTGCAAAAATATTTTGCAACGTTTCACGATGTTAAACTAGATTGGTTGCATGTCGCGAATCTTAACATCCTTAAAAAGTGTCGCTTCTTTTGATACGAGCATAGAATCTAGTTGATATTATTTAAGAAGATGTCCTCGACTTGGTTCCGAAGGGAGAGCCATCGTTTATGTCGCACCTTAATTTGCGGGAGATTATAGAAATCCTTTACATCAGGTCTTACAGCCTTCTAGTACGTTCCAAGCGCCTGTACACGAATACGATTAGTGGTGCTGACTTTTCTAATATGTGTATTTTGTGTACGTACTAGGTATGGTGCTACTTGATAACGTTGCGCCTTTACGTCCTACGACTCTAGATTTTCAGGCGTGCATAAAATAGGCGAACCAGAAAAACCATCAAACTGCCGAGCATTGTGCTCGGCTCTATAAGTCTCTGACTTGGATTACTGGTAATTTGAATGGAAAGAGCTAAATCGGCATACCGTAGCACGCCTTGTGTAATCTTGATACACAGCAATCATTACATCGTGACGTTTAATCGGTGTAGATCCACATGTTTTTTAAATTTGTGTAGGGCGACAGCGAAGACGACTGGGGCGGAAATTGCGATGAAGTTTACATATAATGGGGTAGATATAACAGATACGTCTCATTTTATCAAGAATTGTTCAATGCAATAGTAAACATATTGCAGTAAAAATGTACAACGCAAGAAGAGAAAGAATACATAGTGAATCTTCGCTCTGATCGTTGTGCTGGGGATTGCGATAAACAGCAATATATGCCCTTTGTGGTGCAGTAGTACTTTAAGGGTGGTATCGCTTGAAATGGATCGATTCAGATCCTGGACTGAAGTATGGGCTGACCCGGGTTTATCAATTAAGAAGACAGAGTCCTGCTGCGTGTAGTCTTCATTCAGCTGCTAGTAGAAGATACGTGAATTTAATTGCCGAGCATCGGTCTGCAAGTGTGACTTTAAATTCCTTCTGCTGAGCGAATAGTGTCGTGGGAGGGAGGTGGAATCGTACCCGTTTGCTAAGATAGCCGTTAATGGGCGTGTCTTGGTTGAGCTGAATGTCTATACTCGTATGGCGGCTGCTACATGTTCACATTCTGCTGAAGATATGGACGCTGAATGTGAAAAAGCAAAGCTAGTGTTTTTGTTGCGTCTGACGTACCTCTTTCATAGCCCAGGACAGTGTACTGGATGAAGATACACTGTAGACTGTCTGTGCATACCTATTTATTTTGCGCTTAGTTCATGTGATAACGTAACGGCGCGAGTACTCGTGGCACTCACCATACTTATGCAGTCTTCTCTGGGCTCAAATTAAATTATCTCCGTTCCACGCATCTGACAACGGTCTACCTTCCGATCTCGGTCGCTTTGATATTGGCGCTTGAAAAGTCGCTGTGGGCACCGGTACCACCTCTGTATTTGTCAAAAACCAATTGACTCTGTGATGATTTCTGTGCCTACTTTTTCGCCGCTTCGTGCAAATCCAATCCGATTATCTGAAAAAAGGAGAACATATTGACGATTGAATATGCTGTAAATTACGGATAAGTTGTGATTGACGCCTACTATGTTTCTTCAGATTAATTTTGGCAAGTCCATCTTTTTAGAGTATATTCGATATAGTACTGAATATAATACGATCTACTTAACGCTGGGTGCGGATGTTCTTGATTGACGATCTCTCTCAAGCGCCAGTGCTACTGCATCCAATTAGTCCTCAGCCCGCTGCTTTATTTTATGTACATAGAAAATTAGATTTGGTTAGCACCTGCCAGGAAGTCTTTTGAGCTGCGGTGTGCGCTCTCTACCCTTAAGGTATGTGTAACGGGGTGAATCGTTACATAACAATTTATAAGAAATTGTTAATAGAATATAACTGTAATAGTTATATTCTCAGAATATTGTCATAAGGACAAACATTCTGTAGCACTTACGAGTAGTTCCTAATTGGTTGAGTTAGGCCATTATATCAACCAACGAAGATGCGCCACGACAGACGCACGCAATGAGTGGTGAGCAGATAATTGACATACACATTTGTATTTAGACATAGTTAGATGAGGATAAACAGTGGTTTATTAACAGACATTAACTATGATAAATGCAGTTCTACTTTTTACTTTAACCAAGTACTCGCTCCTTCTTACCGTCTTCCTCTGCAAGTACGAGTGTACGTGAAGTTCCGAGGCACCGCCTTATTCTGTTACCAGAATAAGTAGCTTGTACTGTCACCAGTACAAGCTTCAGGGTGCCCCGTTACACCTGGTAGCACTTCGTAGTCCGTCCAAGGACCACGTTCACATCCAACATGTATAAGTTGGATGATGAAGATGACCAAAGCTTTCACGCTACGCGTGACGGCTACTCCCATTTGAGCGATGTCGAATGGGATGCGGTTGAACGAATGGGTTCGACCATGGGCATCCATGCTGTTAGCCTCATGCTAGAGGCTCTCAATAGAGATGCCCAACATGCTACTTTTGCCAAGTTCACTCAGAATGAACTTGACGCTGAACGCGAGAAAGTAGCCTTGCTTCACCAACAAGGTTCTCAACAATCAGAGTTGTTGAGAGAACAGGGTTCTCAACAGTTTGAACTGTTGAGACAGCAGCAGGCTGCTGCTGGTGGGTCGATGCACTCGCGTCGACCCGAAACCTTGAAGATTGACATCTCCAAGTACAGGGGAGTCGAAGAGGACTCCCTCTTGAGATGGTTCGTTGAATCGGATGACACCATAAGGGCGCGTCGCATCGACGACGGGGATATGGAAGCTGCATTTGCCCAGTCAAATCTAGCAGGACGTGCCAAGACTTGGGCACTGGGGCTCAAATTGCACGACCCATATGCGTTTGGGTCGTTGGAAGTCTTCAAGTCGCGGCTCAGACAAACGTTTGAACCGCCTAGAGCTGAGTTCAGAGCTCGAACCGAACTCTTGAAGCTCAAACAGGGTAAGCGTGATGTGCACGCTTACGCGCAACATATACGACATCTCACGAGTTGTATAAGTTCCAATCCGGTGGATGAACACACGTTGGTTTCGGTGTTCATGCAGGGTCTTGCGGATGGTCCCGTCAAGACTCACCTGTTCCGGCTTGAACTAGATTCACTAGAACAAGCCATTTCCATTGCGGAGCAGGAAGACTTCAGTCTGAGACAGGCTCGCGCCAGCTCGGATGGTCCCGTCAAGACTCACCTGTTCCGGCTTGAACTAGATTCACTAGAACAAGCCATTTCCATTGCGGAGCAGGAAGACTTCAGTCTGAGACAGGCTCGCGCCAGCTCGACATCATATCGTCAACCGAGACGATATGACAACAGAGGTCCAAAGCCGATGGAACTCTGTTATGTAGAGGGCGAGAAGGCTCGCTCTACAGGCTACAAGAAGTTGCAGAGATGCAACAGATGTCAAGAGACAGGACACTACGCTTACGAGTGTAGTTCCCCTCGTCCTGTGTCTTGCGACACTGGGCGTAGTGACCGTCCACCCATGAGAAACGGGCAGGGACGCGGGTCCGCTGTTGGTGCAAAGACGCAACAACGGGATGGACCGTCAAAAAACGGACAGGATCAGTAGGTGCGGAGCACCCTACTGATCCAGCAACGTCAAGAGAATTTGTAGGCCTCTTGGTGAAGGTTGATCCCAACACACAATCATTGTGCATTGCTGCTCTAGGTAATGAGATCTCACTCATTTCCTTGAAACTCGAAGAGACAAACAAGTTGTTCCTTCGAGCTTTAGTCTATTGTGGGGCGTCCAACAATTTTGTGCGACGCCAATCGCTAGAAGATGGTCACTTTAAGTTCAGTGAATGTGACACACCTCCTACGAGGATGACGGTACGTCTTGCGACAGGCGCATCCGTAACCGTCATGAAGCGTATAGTGAAGAACCATTATACGCTAGAAGATACCCAATATGACGATGACTTTATCGTATTGGATTTGGATGACAAATTTGATGTCATCCTTGGAAGACCGTGGCTCAGAAGGTACGAACCACGAGTAAACTGGCAACATCGAACAGTAACGATGCCTGCCGCCTGTTCATCAGATGGCCATCTGATGAACGTTTTGGAGCGCCCACAAGCGTGTGGATGTACTACGAGTGAGTGCGATGGCCTCACTTGTGGTACGGTCGTTAGTACGACTGTACAAAACCTTAGTGTACCAAACGGTTACACTTCGGAGCAAAGTTCCGGCGGCTGTGAGGAAACACAGGCTGCGCCGAAGGTCCACCACTCGAATAAGTCGGGTGGACTGGGACAAAGATGTATCCCTAGCGGGGAACATCTAGAAGAGAAACAATCGATCGCTCAGGTTAAGCGAAACGATAATCCTAGATCGACTGGAGAGTCTTTCGTAGAGGATCTCGCTGTGGTTGCGCAACCCGGGCTAGAGGAAGTAAAGGGAATAAGTCCCAAGATTACAAATACGGCGGAAATAAGTTCCCCGAAACCCGCGGGAATAAGTCCCCGGGAAGCCGAAGGAATAAGTCCTTCGAGGCCTGTGGGAATAAGTCCCCAGGAAATGACAGAGACATTGAATGTCATAGTCAATAACGGATCAAGTGTAGGCGTTTATACACTTGACCTGATTGCGCCTCCGAAGTTGGCTTCGGAGATCACTCAGTTGCCAACGCTAGAACATAAAAGGTTCTTGCGTGATCTGCGTAGTGGCAAAGTCAAGCAGATCTACGTACTCGTCGCTGACGACGAGTGTGTAGCCGACATAAGGTCAGCAACAGTGTTCACTGAGAACGAGAGAGTTCTCAGTAGTTCATCGATGGACGAGAGCGTCCTTGATGATAAGACACGAGTTGATCGATATGACTCCCAATCGTGAGAATCGCTCAAGACAAATTCGTCTCTATGAAGATTTGGTTGAATTCAAGGATTTATTCGCTGAAACTGTTCCGTGCGAGTTACCGAAGGATAAAGGTACTCGACACGAGGTCGAGCTTAAACCAGGCTCGAAGTACTGTTTCATGAAGCAGTGGTCACTGCCTCGTGAACAAGTACTTGCGATCAACAAGTTCTTTGCCGATCGTTTAGCTGCGGGCCATGTGAGGGAATCAACTTCCTCACATAGCTCTCCGACCTTCTGTGTGCGAAAAGCAACAGGAGGGTGGCGGATAGTGCATGCATTTAATTAAGTTGAATGCTGCAACGGTACCGGCTCAGACGCCGATGCCAAGGAAGGACGTAATCATTGATGTTTTGTCAAAGAGTACCATCTTTTCGTCCATGGATTTGATGGATGGCTTCTATCAAATCCTTATGCGAGAATGGGATATACCCTATAACGCAGTAAGCACGCCTAGCGGCATGCTCTGGGAATGGCTGATAATACCACAAGGGCTTATTAATGCCCCTGCCACGTTCAACAGATGTGTATAAAATCTGTTGAGACCAGTACGAGAATTCGCACCGAGTTATTTCGATGACGTATTCATCCATAGTCGGGCTAAGTCGGACGTTGAATTTTACAGATACCACGTCCGACAGGTTCTTACAATCATGCGAAAGCATCAATTGTATGCCAATCTCAAGAAGTGTATATTTGCAGCAAGCGAAATACCACTTCTTGGGTGCATCGTTAGTAAGAACGGTGTACGCCCTGATCCCGAAAAGATCAAGGCGATCACCGACTGGCCTGTGCCAGTTGATGTCAAAGGTCTTCGAAAATATCTTGGGCTAGCGGCGTATTGCGCAAGTATTCACGCAATTACGCCGAGATGACTGTACACCTCTCTCGTTTGTTGAAAAAGAACGAGAGGTGGTTATGGAACGCTGAATGTCAGCGCTCCTTCAAATGTGTCAATAAAAGCTTGATACAATCCCCAGTCCTAGCAATTGCCGATCAGGACAGGCCATTTCATGTGGTCTGTGACGCCAGCGATTTCGCAATCGGCTGTGCATTAATGCAGTACGACCTAGAAGGCGTTGAACGCGTCGTCTGCTATCAGTCGCGTCAGCTGCAACCAGCTGAGCGGAACTATCCAGTGCATGACAAGGAACTCCTTGCCATGAAGTATGCACTCGCGAAGTTCAGAGTCTATCTATTAGGAGATAGACACTTCATGGTTTACACAGACCATGCATCTTACGCACAGCAGTAAACAGCCCGCACCTTTTACAACGAATGGCGCGGTGGCTGTCATTTTTTTTGGAGAATACAACTTTATGGTCGAGTACAAACCAGGACGACTTAATGTCGTCGCTGATGCACTCTCACGTCGTCCCGACTTTTAAACAGTCGCGAAACCCAACAGTGAGACAGTCACTGTTGCGGTTATGACGTCCTCAGTCCCATCTACAACGTTGTATGATGATGTGAGGCGGGCATACGCCCAAGATGGTGAGATTGTGAAGTTGTTGACACATCTCTCCCAACCATCTCGAGAATCGTTGAAACGATTGTCGTCTGCGTATCAATCTGCATCAGATCGATACACTACTCGCAACGGTTTACTGTATTATACAGCCGTTTCTGATGACACACCACGCGTTGTCATTCCAGATAATACTGATCTGCGTTTGCGGATCATGTTCGAGTATCACGAGGCTCCTATAGGAGGACATCGTGGCCGTGAGAAAACTAATCTCACGGTAAGTCGAGAATTTTACTGGCCCCACCAGTATCAGTTTGTGCGGAAGTATGTTCGCGCATGCGAAGTCTGTCAACGAGTGAAGTCAAGTCCTTCACTGCGTGCACCTTTACAGCCTCTACCAGTTCCGGCAGTGCTGGGAATCCATCTTAATGGATTTCGTCTTCGGGTTACCCAAAGACGCACGCGGGAATACGGGTATTCTCGTATTTGTTGACAGGTTCGGCAAAATGGTACACCTTGTGGCTGTACCCGAGTCAATCACAGCAAGTGGTTGTGCTTGTGTCTTTATCGACACCATCTTCCGACTTCATGGTTTTCCCCGTGAACTCGTATCAGACAGAGATCCACGCTTCACTGCTGATTTCTGGCGCTCGGTGTTCAAATCACTCGGAACGCGCTTGAAGATGTCGACATCTGATCATCCAGAGTCAGATGGTCCGACGGAACGGGCCAATCGTGTCCTCTAAGAAATAATTCGAGGATACGTACACTCCTTTAAGAGTTGGAGTGAGTTTTTGCCAGTGGTAGAGTTTGCCATTAACAACTCGGTGCATGCGTCCACGACACATACACCGTTTTACGTGAATGGCTTACGCCATCCGCGTGTACCCACCTTACTAGAGTGTAACTCTGATTTAAGGGGGGGAGGGACTCGCGCGAGCAAAAACCGATTTGGTTCACGCTCATCACGCTCCGACGATGAGGTCACTGCGTTTGATGCCGGTATCGATTACATCGATATCGAAGAAGATGATTCCAGTGAGATTGCGGAAGCCCTCACTGAAGAAAAGGTTGATGTTGCTGCAGTGCACTTAAAGCGCACTGAAGCTAACGAGTCAGCAGATGAGTTCATGCTGGCTCGTGAAACGGTAGTCCGTTTTGTGCAAGACTCCATCGCCGAAGCGGTGGATAAGCAAAAGCAAAACGCTGACAAGAATGGAAGGGCAAACACTATTTTATTTAATAAAGGTGACTTAGTCCTACTCTCTACGGTTAATCTACCAAAGCATGTAGTGACTAACTTGGGTAGCAGTAAACTACTACCCAAGTACATCGGCCCATTTCGTGTATTGCACCGCCTAGGCAATGCATACACGATCGAGTTACCACGTAAGATGCGAACGCATCCCACGTTTTACGTTGGTCAGCTTGAGCCGTACCATCAGTACGCTGCTTCTTCCGACGAAGAACACCCTTGCGCTCAAGCATCTCGTAGAGAGCCTTGTGCTCCCGATGGTGGGCATCGACAAGGGTCTGAAGAGCAGATATCTCATCCGAGACCGGTCAATATCCCCACGAGCTACCCTTAGCTCGCCACGAAGAGATGTCAGATATCTCTCGTTCTCAAGCTGAGCAAAGGCAAACTCAGCTCGATGCTTCGAGACAGTGTCCCCCATTTGGAGACGCCTGTCCCGCTCATGTTCGAGATCGCCGCGTAACCCTTGCGTTACGCGATCAAAGAAGCTCTCGGGAACACACCGATCCCCACGAATGTGTGGAGAGCGTCTTTCCTCCTCCTTCACCTCCATTAGAGGACTCTCGCGGTGGCCAGCGCTATCTAGTTGAGCAGCTGTTGAACCACCGCGACGAGAACGGACGTCGGACGAGTTATCTCGTCCGGTGGCGCGGTTATCCCCCGTCCTGGGATTCTTGGGAGCCCCGCTCCCAATTGATGATTGACGTACTGGGTCTGGTCGAGCAGTACGACGCGACACATCCTGTGCTGCAGAAGGACCACCGGAGAAAGTCTTCCCGGCACGGTCATAAAGGGGTTTCAGGTTGTCAATCCCTTCGTACATCTCAGTAGAGATACGTACGCGCCACCACGGGCTAGTAAGGAGGTAAGCCTCCTTAGGTGCGCGCGCTGAGTTTCTTACACAACAAGGGCACGGGTCTCCCCAGGAAAGACAGGGTAACCCACCCTCCCTATACAGACGATGCAGCTTATAGCGTGCACCTGTCGGGGTTCGCTTCTAAAACTTATCACGAGCCTTGATAAGTTTGTCGTTCCAAACGTCACGACCTACATCCTCAAGGTTATGGATGTAAGCTATCCACGCTTGAAGCAGTGAGGGACCATCACGTTTGTGATTCCCACTATACATCGATGCTTACAGAAAGCATCGATGACGAACTCATGCTCAGTGTGATAGTTTTTCGCAATGGGGTCAAGGTGATGGATCCTTGATGAATCGAACAATCGTGTTCGATAGCGATCACTCGTCGTCGCCGACAAGTGATCCATGACGGATTTTGGAGGCATCCATGCCTTCTTCTCAGGAGCGAGACGCAACACATTGCGGTCCCGCTCTTCCTGCGACGTACCGACAGAAGTACTGGCACCTCGTTGCGAAGTGGTATCAATAGGAGAACCGACACCACTGTTAGCGCCCGAGTCTCGCGACCTCGAGCGCCTTCGCTTCGGCGATGGTTCATCTGATGAATCAGACGAACCAAAGATGCTACGACGCGTAGCATCATCCATGCCACGCTTGGCAGGCGGATTGGTTTCAACCGCCGTCGATACAGATCCGTCTTTCGTATCAGGAGAGTATGAGACACCGAGCTCATACTCTGTGAAGACATGAGTGTCTTCATGACGAGAGTCTGCATCACCAGGTGACACAGACTGAGACGCTTTAGCAACCGATGACACATCAGTTGCAGCGGTTTCTGTTTTGGCGTCTGCACAGAGACGTGCAGACGCTCTCTGAGCTGCCTTGTTTGCGCACCGGATGGGCTTGTTTACCATGCGATGAAACTGATGGACTGTGGACTCGGACCAACAAGTGCAAAACCTGTCCCAAACGATTTGGAAAGAGTATCCATTTAGTCAATCAATCACTAAAGTGACTGATGGTTAGGGGGGGGTGATGTAACGGGGTTGAACCGTTACATAACAATTTATAAGAAATTGTTAATAGAATATAACTGTAATAGTTATGTTCTCAGAATATTGTCATAAGGACAAACATTCTGTAGCACTTACGAGTAGTTCCTAATTGGTTGAGTTAGGCCATTATATCAACCAACGAAGATGCGCCACGACAGACGCACGCAATGAGTGGTGAGCAGATAATTGACATACACATTTGTATTTAGACATAGTTAGATGAGGATAAACAGTGGTTTATTAACAGACATTAATTATGATAAATACAGTTCTACTTTTTACTTTAACCAAGTACTCGCTTCTCCTTACCGTCTTCCTCTGTAAGTACCAGTGTACGTGAAGTTCCGAGGCACCGCCTCATTCTGTCGTCAGAATAAGTAGATTGTACTGTCATCAGTACAAGCTTCAGGGTGCCCCGGTACAGTATGCCTGTGTTCCAGACGCTGAACATGCAAAATCCATGGTCTGCAAATTCGTTCTTTGTACATGCCCAGATGATGATGCAGTATGCATCAAGCCACATATTTCGAAACTTGCAACTTTATGTTGACCCATTTTGAATGAAGACTTCTTCGAAGTGCCATTCAAGAAAAAGCGCAAAAATTCGGGTTCGTAATTTGTCCATGATCACCATTTTTTTCACTCGACTCATCCGTGGCGTAAAATCTGTTTCGTGACGCATCATATAGTCAGGGCTGAATATGTGCCGAGCATTGAGCATGTGTACGGCATGTGGATTCTCATACGTGTCGTCGATAACATTAATATACCTGATTGAATCCGTAAGAATAGTTATACGCTCCGCAATGATACCGAAGCCGTTACATGCATTGATCACCCACTTGAATTCGGCTTCTAGCGTGTAGTTTATGAAACAGTACGACAGCGTATACGTTGGTTTTTTTTATTGACGACGATGTATATCATCTGTATACCAGATGCATTGTGCTTACTGGATTTTTCGTCCAGTAAGCACAATACATCTGAAGACAGGAATTGTCCGCGCCTGCCTCACTATATTCGGGATCGGGTTCGGCACAATCAAATGTGTTTTATTTATTATTACCATATACCTTGATACGATGCATATCTCCTTACTTGTATCAACTTCACATGAAGGCAGTCATTTCATCCTCCCCTTCAATTTGGTCACTACTGTGTTTGAAAATCAGATTGTACATGTCCTTCCTTGGCGACAAGTCTACATTCAGGAAATGATTTTTATACCGCCAACAATGTTGTCTGCCTTTGTCCCCGCATCAGCGTGGCCGCGCAAGAGCCGTAGAACATGGGGTAAATCGGCTTGCGGGCCACAGAGTAAACTCATACATCAGCCCCTATTTGGTTTTAAGTAGCTTGGACAAGATTCACAGTGTACTTACTTTCTGCTGAAGCACGCCAAATTTGTGCTTTTCAATTTCACGCAGTGATCTGTGATGTTATCTCGTGCTCGGGGACTTCAACGGCTTATCTATAGTTGCTTCCTCTGACACCCCGGAAGTCGTTGTTAAACCACCAATGTAACGGATCTACACAAACGGTTGTGATAACCACATACACTGGTGTGATCCGCACAAAAAGAGATCTACTGCCGGTGGGGTGGTCGATTTTGTGATCAAGCTCTCTCCCTCCATCACAAATCTGCTCACAGTCTCTAATACGATGTACGTTGTCATGTGCGTCTCCTGTTTTGTGGCTTACTACCTGGTTAAAGTCGTCAGTAGACGTTTGTGTCTCTTGGTGAGTAGTTTTTGTTAAACGGGAAAAGCACCTTGTGTCGTAAGCTCCAGGTCAGCGCGAGCACCGTCTGTACCGTTTGTTGTCATTTTGGAGCAGCTGACGATAGCGATGAATGTGGTGTTGTCAGGTACACTACATGCTTCTTATAGAGCGACTTTACAGGGTGGCATACAGGGAACAAAAAAACTGGTGTGAGCACCAAAACCCCGATAAAACGAGCTCATAGATAGTGTTCATACAAACCCCATCAACCACATTTACAACCGAATGCGAGAAAAAATTCATGTGATGTTGTACCAATAGTAATATGTGATTAATCATTCAAGTAATAGCAACAGATTCGTGACTGTCTAGTATTCATTGTGATTGTATGCTGGAAGTCTGAATCGTCTAAGCCAGGCACAGCGGTGATAAGTGGCACCGTGCTAGAGAGAATTTGGTTCGACACTCCACTTTGGGGCATAAAATTAATTACAGGCATTCAACTGAGCCCCTTGAAATTCCGTTTTTGCTTCTCTATGTCCTCGTATAGCCAAAGCAACAAAATGACTCAGATCCGTTGTCCACAAGCGTACCACACTGAGACGTTGTGGACTGCAAGTCACGAATAACGGCATCGTTTCCCTCATACCATAATGGCGTGATGCAGATAAAGCACATTGGGAACCATATCCATCACCAACCTGTTAGCCCGCCGCAAAATTATCTTGAAACCTCTCCAACAGTCTAGACCGCTGAAGCGCTACATTTTCGGAGCCGGACGGTTGGCACAGTTGCCGAAGCATCTCGAAAAGACACGAGATGTAGAGATAGCGCCAGCCCAAAGTTTGAGAAATTTACCCAAGCGCGCACGCACCTTTGGGCACTCTTAAAACAAGTGTAGCAAAGTCCTTGGCATCCCTTGAAACTCCTGCAACGCGCGGCAGCTATAGTCCGTGAGACGGCCCGCGTAACGTCGGTTAAGTTGCGTGGTAATGATGCAAAACGCCGTCTGAACTTAAAATTCGGAGATTCCGTTGTCATGCTTTTATATCTGGCAATGATGCTGATGGTCCGCCGCCCGTAGACACGTATCCGTGTTAATAATCGAATCTAATTGCTCCAGCAATGGTCGGCGTGTCTAGCTTCGGTAGCTCCGGCTCGAATACCAATGCAGCCCGTCAGCGGTCTAGTTTACGCGAAGCAGGCCAATACATGACAGAGAACGACCTCTACGAATAACTACTATGCAGCATCGGCACTCATCTACGCATCTTAGGTTATAGCGAAACGGAAAGATAAAGTAGAATCATCGAACAGGCTCCAGACCCAGTTGCGACCGAATCAGGATACTAGGTGATGTCAACAATACAGAAATCGCTCATCGCCGTAATTTGGGTTTATAAATATACCACCGCCCGGTCGCGACGGTGGTGGGCGGTTGTGGGTGTGCACATTTGCAAGTTTTTGTTTAAGCTGCAATAATAATATTAAATTACAAATTTGCGAGACACGTTTCTCGGTCTCGACAGATTTTATGGTGCTCATAAAAGCGAGCCCGAAGGCTGAAGCCTTTAGTGAGTGTGCGCAAGGTATCTTGCCAAACTTATTAATCGTACTTATTCGTGTCTGTCTGTCCGTTTGTAAATAGCGCGGCTAGATGTAGCATACCCGTAATAAGTGCGATCTAGCCTGTCCCCACCACACAGTTATATTGGCATACAGTAGGTCACTCTTTGGCTAGGTCTCTGCTGAACGCACGCACGTGATCGGCTTCAAATTGACCTAAGGTAAATATGATCACATCAAAGGCCAATCGAGTTGCTTGAGTATACTGTCCTGGTTTAAACAGAAGTTTACATCATCATTTTGCTTGTAACGGGTCACACTAGCCATCAGCTAAATTGGTTGAAGACCTCCCATGTGTGACATGAGATGCAAGCGTAGCCTTAGATTCTACTACTTTGTACCGTCATCATTTGCTGAGTGATGTGCGAACCATCCATTTAGTTTGAATGCTAACATTTTTATTAGTTCTAGTTTAGTCTAATACATGGTACTTAAAGTAGGATTTTCCTTGATATAAAATCCAGATAAATTCAGTTCTCATTTTGAGTGGAATTCCGTAGAATTCCCCCTTTTGCACGTTGCGCTTGACAGTTCCTTAGAACTGTCGTGGATTAGAGACTCATTAGACTCCTGTATTCCCCTTTGCCCATTGTGCGTGTAATTCCTTAGAGCTACAGTAGTCTGATCTAATAGCTCATAGGGTCCGCGCTAAGTTCCGTAGAACTAGACGAATCTTTAACTTGATAGATTAGTTCCTTAGAACTAATCGGCTACTAGCCCTCACAACTAATTGGCCGTTAGTCGTAAGCCTCTGGCTTAACCCGAAAAGTCTTCCTCTGACTTCAGAGCTGTGGTGGCTATGCTACACTTGGTAGTACTTGTAGTTTATCCTACACCTGAGTCGTTTTCGACTGATCCTCTGTAAGAGATGTAAAGTCTTGACTACCTCTTTGAGGCCCAACGTCTCCCGTTTGAAATCTTAGAGCGTTGATGGGGGTCAAGCATGTCGACCACATTGTGGTTCATGGCCCAGAAGTGCTCAATGCACGCCTTGATGCGCTCATGCAGTTTAAGGCCACGCCGATCGGGCAGATGTATGACCATTTAGCCTCAGCTATTCATACTAGGTACATTATAGTACCTGGGAGTGAGCCAAAGGCTCGTCCGCTCGCTCTTAGCGTTAAGACTTTCGACGGAAAATATGAGGGGTCTCCTTCACTGAATCCGAGAAGTCGATGTAGCTATTATTGCCGCGATGGTCCAATCTGAGCAAAAGAAAGTTGGCTTAGTCATTTCGAAACCAGACACTAGAGCCAGAGAATGGTCTCGGACGTGTGATGCGTCGGTAGACGCTGCGTTTCCCTTATGGGATTCGCTTAAAAGAGAGAAGTTTCGGGTGTTTACACCACGGAATCAAGCGTGCCGTGTACGCTCCCGATTCCTTGCCGCCAGGCAGGGGAAGAAGGAATAATCGGAATTTGTCCAGGAGTTGTGAACTTTCACAGCTGCCATGCAGCTAAACCCTCTCCCAGAAGAAGTCTGTGTCACAATTGCAATGGAAGGACTTCGCA